TACGTACGTACATACGTACATACGCACGTACATACGTACATAGGTACATACGTACATACGTACATACGTACATACGTACACACATACGTACACACATACGTACATACGTACATACGTACATGCGTACATACGTACGTACACACATACGTACATACGTAGATACGTACATACGTACATACGTACATACGTACATACGTACATACGTACATACGTACGTACGTACGTACATACGTACATACGTACATACGTACATACGTACATACGCACATAAGCACATACGNNCATACATACATACATACAGACGTACATGCATACATGCATGCATGCAACCCATGCTTGCGTGCTTGCATACACACAGTATCATCATGAGTTATTATTGATAGGAACCATAACAGACATGACAGTATCCCATGGTCACGAGTATAGTGGGATATTGTACATTCAAGAGTACCACCCTGACCTTGCCTAGCAACCCAGCAACGGCAAATGTGTGAGTAGTTGCTGCCCTTGGTACCAAGCCCCGCGCAGGCATGCTACACTACAAAGACTGGTTTAGGGTTTAGGGGTTTAGGGGTTCAGGGTTTAGGGTTTGGCTGTTTTAGGAGCACCCATGTAGTTATTTCTGGCTGGCTGGGCTCCATGTTACCGACAAGCCGTAATGTCAAACCTTAACCCGAGCTCAAACAAAGAACATGTCTTAGGCAGTAGCGGTAGCGGTCAAAGACTTGATTCAAAGAAGACGTATTTGGTCGGCTACAAAGTCCTGGAACTCAAGAAAATATTTTGTCTTTCGCAACTAATTAGGACCATGCATTCGTATTCTACAATATCGGGCAGTTTTTTTTGCTAATCAAGAGCGCGGGTAGGAATCTAAGCCAGTCGCAAGCGTGCCTTGCTTCCATCTGCTGGCAAGGTTGAGCTGTATGTAGAGACAGACAGGCCTGAAGAAGCCCAGACCGCGGGAGTAGGCTGGAATACTACAAGCTAAAACCTCCCTAAGACAACTGCTTGCCATTGAGCAAGATTTGGGCACCAACCTGTTTGCTCGAGGGCATACGTCAGGCGCTGCTTCAATGATGCGTCGTCTGTGCAAAGCAGCACACAATCCATGTGCCAAACTGCACACCTGGGTCAACAGGACCACTCAGCAAGATGATCCAGAACAGAGAACATTCCAAATAGTGGTAGTGCGGTGGCATATGATCCCACATCTCATCTGATCGAAGCTAGGCATGCGGCTGTTGAATGATACGATCTTGGAGGTTTTCGTCCGAAAGCTCAAAGTTGGCCGCCGCTTCGCATGCCTTGTCGCTGCGGCGGATGTGCACCTTCGTCTGCAGCTGTAGACTCTTGTAGAGGATTCAGATAGATGGACTCAACCCAACCACAAGTTCTCGTACCAACCCAAGGATCCGCCAGACGACGTCCTCCTGGCAGTACATCTATAGTTTCCTGAAGCTTCTGCTGGAACCTGAGTTAGCTCCAAGCAAGCTTGCGATGGGGTCAGGGTTATGATCAGGGACCCAGCCTCTGTCGCAACACAATGTTCTGCCTGCAGAGCGCACGGCCTTGAGCTGCCTGATGCAGAGGGATGCCTCCGTAGTCCTGAAAGAGCTGTAAGGAAGACATGATAACTCAGCTCCTTTGCTTGTTGCTGGATGCCATAGACCTCTGGATACCTTTGGGGAATCCAGAGGGATCGGGACATCATCACTGGATGTGAGTCGTACTGTTGATGAATGAAATCTTGCACCACATGGCCCCTAAACTACCGTAATTCCTAGGACTTCAGAGACTTAAGGTGGTGCAAGATTTCCTCCATCAACAGTAGGCTCTTTCCTCTTTCCTCTTTCTCACTCGGCTTCACTGCGGAAACCAGCACATGCCAGCACGACTTTGAACTCGAATCACATGTCCTGGATGACTCCTTTGTACCGTCCATAGACCACCCTGTGGCTGCTAGTTTCTCTGTACCTGGCTCATGCAGGTGAGCCATCAATCGGGCGAATCATCAAAATGCATGCTGAAGTTGCCGCCCACTGCGGAGTGCATCCTGGAGGGCCTGCAAGACAACAGAAAGTCTCAAAATGTCTCAAATCATCTCATCTTTCGTCTAGTCATGTTGAGTCTCGTCTGGCAACAGCGCAAGGCAGCACCTCCGGCGACATCTTCAATTCAGCGGGCTGGCAGAAGAATGCGTTCCACACCTTTTCACGCGGCTGCAAGATGCTTTAAGAGTCGTAGGCAGCAACCGGCCATATGAGGGGCCTTCGGTAAACCTAAACCTTTCACGTTTTCACGACACCAAGAGCTTCCAGGTTTTTTCAACCAACGTCCTGGATTGATTCTCGTGTTTGGCAAACGGACAGTGCATGCATTCTGCGGTTTCGCATGGTCATGAATCGGTCCGTCGAGGCCTCAGGGAGGAGGAGTTAAGGCGAGCATCTTTAGAATCTCCGCGAACAAAATTCCTGGAAGCCAGGTACGTTGACCAGTCTTTCTCGTGTGGCCCTGGTACGCCTGCCAAGGTCTTCATGAAATTTCATGAACTTTCCAGGCCTGTGGATTTGGCAGTTTTCAGAACTGCCCCGCTAGGACTCCTCCCCCATCCCCTACCCACCGCGTGGGCGAGACACTAACACATGATGTGACAGCAGCCGTTGTAAGGCCGGCACATTCGGTTCACCCGGCGGACCTCTGTAGAGCAACTCTTCAGAAGACCTCGGGTGCTTTGGGTGGTGGGGATTAGGCGCTGCACGTTTTGAAACAAGTTCAGGCTTATTGGGACCAAGGCACCAATCCACAAGCAATGTTGTGCCCTGCTGCTCACACGTCTGCATATGACCGAGCGCCAACGAAAACATCGAAAAGAGACCATGCGGATGTCTGCAGTGCCAGACAAGAACCTGAAACTATCACATGCAGCACGTACGGCACGTCCAGCTGCAATACAAGCATGCACCGCAGTGTCCGCATTCAGTGGCCTCGGGAGCAGTCCTCAACGTCCGAACAGGAGACAAAGGCTTCCCTCCAAAGTGGGCCTCATGGCACAGCAAATAAGGCTTGAAACCCCAAAAGCCACCACAGCCCGAAGCCTGCAAACGCTTCTCAGCATTCACCTCACCTCAGCAAGCAGGCACGCATGATGCTTACATGCTTCGGCTTCTATATGCAGCCTGGATGCCCGGAAGGGGTGTGAAGTCTGCTGGTAAAGTATCATGCCAACCCACCTTGGCTTCTCTTGGTCATGAAAGTCATGGCAGACTCATGGCAGGTGATACTTTTCAATGAATGTCCGAGCTGGCTTTGCAAATTATGCAGCAGCAGCAGAGAAGTGCATTTTCGAGAGACAGACTCACGAGCTTTAGCTTCCCTAAGGCCCTAAATGGCCCTTAGAGCTTTTCCCGAATCGCCTGCTTCACAACGGCATCAAGTGCTAATTCCTCCCCTGCTGCGGCCCAAGGTGCCACAGATCGAAAGCGGCGTGGACGCCGAAGCAGGCGTCGTGAATGCGGTGCAGGGCGGGAGCGAGCTCCCAATCTTACTCGCAAAGGCAAGCCCAAGCTCGAGGGCCCCTCCCATTTTGGGAGTCGCTGCTCAAGGTCCTCTGGAGTTTGCGCATCTGCTGGCCTGAGTTTGTGCTTAGTCCATGCAGGAGAAATTTGAAGAGCTTCTGTAGCAGAGTCTGAGGTTGGGACAACATTGGCAAGGCTCTTGGGGAGATGTCAGGGGTGGGGTGTGATAGCGAGAAGTCAGCAACAGCTACAGGGTGAGTCGGCCGAATCACTGGTGTAGGAGCATGTAGAACTGGCTGCACCCTCTGCAACTGTCCAGTCGACATGAACCCGCACAGGGCCTGAGCCTTGCCACTGGAAAGGGGTGCCGTTGAACAGGCAACTGGAGAGGTGAATGGGGCAGGCGAAAGCGGGTAGGCGCCTGCAGCAGTCTGGCAAAGTCCATTCGCCACTGTGACATTTGAAGGTGTCGGCTCCAAAGTAAGCAGCGGAGAGACGGGTACAGAGAGCCCTTGTGGACACGGAATTGCTGCAGGCAAAGAGCTCGAGAACACAGACATGACGGGCACCGGCAGTGGCATTGGTGCTGATGCAACCGTGGGCGGTGAAATGGAAGCTGCTGGGAATGCAAAAGCTTGCGCTGCGTTTGCAAAATCGACAAGCTGCAGCCCAGTCTTCTCATTGACTATGGCGTCGAGTCCTTCAAGGGCCACTGGGAAAGGTCTCGCGTTTGCGTCACCTCCCAGCGGCCCCCTCACAAGACCCATAGCTGTAAAGCACTGGTCCTGACACGATTGATATTGCAGCCAGCACCGAGAAGAATGAGGCAAAGACCAAGACTAGACAATAAGGCCGGTCCTCCAACGCCAAAAGGCCAAAACCCCTCTTTTCGAAGCAATGTTGCAATGTTGCAAGCCCTCCTTTCTGCAGAGCTTGAGCCACAATCGTATGTGCCTTGCAGACTCTTTCCTGACAGATGAACGGCTCTATGGCTTTTTCACATCACTCAGACTGGTTACAGCAATCAGCGAAACACACGCAAAGGCTCTGCAGGAGTCCAGCCGAACCCCTGGATAGCCTTCTCCACGTCAGTTTATACGGATGGGCTTCTTAAGCGGCTCAATCAACACCACCTGCTCAAATGCATGAATTTCCTGACTGGAGTGCACGTCAAACAATTTCACATCCAAGCGCGCGCTTTCAGAACAGAAAACTGCTTGGTGGCTGCTAGCTGGCTGGACAAACCTAAATTCAGGGGGCCGAAAATCCAGAAGACTACTTTTAAAAGGGGAAGACTACTTTTAAAAGGGGCCACCTAATAGTGAATTAGAGATTGGTTTTGAGGTCACTAGGGAGTATAAGAAGAAGTACGAAGAAATTAGGGATCCACTTCCTTTCCTAGGTTTTGACTGTTTTTTCATATGGCTTTTGTAAAGGATCATACATACAAGAACTGAATGCGATTTTAATTGATGTTATTACCATTTTAGCCGTATTTAATCAAATCTCAATTGAGTTTCATTCGATTTCAATTGGCTGCAATCGAATTCAATCAGTTTTCAATTCATGTTAAAAGGATTTTAAATGAGATTTCTTTCAATTGTTTTTACAGTGATTTTAATTCATTTTCATGTGAATTTTGGTGTGGATGTTGATCAAATTCCAATTGAGTTTAAACGCATGTGAATTCGAGTGCAATTGATTTTACAAGGAATTCGAATTAGATGTCAATTGATTTTGAAGGGACCTTAATTCGATTCTAATTGATTGTTGGTGGAATTTTGATTAAGTTTTAATTGATTCTGAATGGATGCTAATTCAATTGAATTTACGTGAAAGGAAATTAAATCAGATTTCAATTGGTTTAAAAGGTATTTTCTATTTCGGCTCCAAATGTTTTTAAAAGATTTTTTAGCAAATTTCAATTGATCTTAAATGGAACTTCATCAGGTTAAATTGATTTTAACTTGAATTTAATTCGATTTCAATTTCAATCTTGTTAGATTGGATTTCGATTGATGTTACTTGGTTTAATTCGATTTCAATAAGTACTTAATCAATTCGTCAATGTCATTGACTAATTTGATTAATTAATTCTTCATTTTCCATGGCATTTGAACTTAAACAGCCCTATCTAATTCCTTCAATAAATGTCCCGCCCCTAATATCAAACAAATTCTCGGGGGCCGGGAATATTTAATATACGGAGGGTGGGTGGGGGGGGGGTGGGGGCGTCGTTTAATATTAGGGGGAAGGGATTACTTCAGCATGCAACCAACAGGCAAGTGAGGCAAGTTGGATGCTGATGATGCGGCAACAACGGCTGCAAGCGAATCTGCAAGAGCTATCTCTGCCAGATCTCCCTCACAAAGGGCTTTGCATTGGTAGTCATGTAGGGCACCTCAGCGCAGATCCTGGAGCCCCAAGTCGTCAGCGGTTTCAGGGGAAAGCGTACTGTCGTTTGTATCCTGTACTACAGGCAGCAACGAGCCAAATGCCAGGTAGCTTTCAACGAGAAAAATGCTGTTGGCCATGCATGCTAGATGCACAAGTTCAGGCAGGGCATTGAAAGATCTTTTAACCAGTTGCTTTGAACTGCAGATTGATGACAAATTCTTTGCTGAGTCCGAAGAAGCCGTCAGAAAGCACTTGCGCCTCTCAGTCTTCTGCTGCTAGATCAGGCCTCACTGGCATCCCTGATGGCCAGCAACAAGTGGTTTTGAGAGAAGCTCAGCGCGCCACGCCGCCAACATCTACAAAAAACAAGGACTCAGAGTTGTTGTCTTGTTCTCCAACATCCTGAAGCTCAACGAAGAAAGAGATATTGAATTTGCGCTGCTTCAGCCAAGCTTGCTCCTCTGCATCAGGCGATGCGCCTGCCAGCACCTCAAAAGCGAGGTGCGCATGTGTGCCGTCTGTGCCGTACCTCATCTCAAAGTTCAGCGCCTCCACAGGCCGTTCCTCGGGCAGCGCTACCCGCGGCTTCTTGAGCGCAGGCTCCAAGCCTATGGAACGGACTTGACCGAAGCCGAGCTCAAATACCTCAGGACTGGCACCTTGAGACGGAAGGGGTTCCACCTGAAACATGGCTATGCATGACGCAGAACTGAAATCCTGAGAGAGGAAAGAGGTGCAGGCTGCGTGCCTCGTGATCCATGACTGGTTCCTCCTCTTCTTCCTCTTCTTCATCGTCAGCCCCGGCAAGGTAAGGATCCGTCTGAGCCTAAGCAAGTGCCATGTCCCACCATTTGAACTGAACGCGGTAAAGACACCATGACCTTTGTTGCCATGACAATGTCGTGCAGGCGGCTTTGGATGTCATGCTGGAATGTAATTAGGACAGTGACATCCAGAGAGAGCACCGATATGGGTGATCTCGGTCAATCTGGGTTGCGGACCACCGTTTCAATCTCATCCTCAGGCGAACCTCCAATCCTTTCAAGCAACCCATACACGGCTTGACGGTGTGGTTCTCACACTAGGGCAAGACGAACCAAACAAGTAGTCTGCCCCTGAGGAAGTAACATTTTGAGTTCCCCAGAAGCTTCCATAGATTCTCCACCCTCCGCTGTCTCACGGCTGCCATAGTATCTGCGGCCAACTTTCGCAGCCACACCGCGAATGGCGATCATCACCACGGCAGATGGGTTCTTTGCATATTTCAGGCGGTGCTGAATAGACCTTGGCGGTCTTGTGCTGGGGAAATTCGGGCGAGCTGCAAAATGCTGAATCATGTTCCTTCAATTGCCGTCTCTCTTTCTCTGGTTCTGGCTGTTTATTCATATTTACGCCGTGTTCGCTCAATCTTTGCAAAAGGACATGCCGGCTACTTTTTAACCCGGAATCTTAAATAGGTCTAACAAGGCGTTTATACTATCTCCAAGCCGTGGCCCAAGGCCGCCTTATGTCTAAGCATCCGGAGAGGAACTTTAGGCTGTTAAGGTTGGAAGGCTTGAGGGCAACGGCTGGAGGGCTGGAAGGCTCGACGGCTGGAGCCGCAACCCTCCAGCCCTCCAGCCCTCCAACCCTGCAGCCCTTCAACCCTCCAGCCCTCCAACCCCTTCAGGCCTCCAACCCTCCAGCCCTCCAGCTTCCGCCCTCCCTCCAGCTTCCAGCATTGACTTTTCCAGCCTAGAGGAAATTCTTTCCATAGTTGAAACTGTGCGACATTTACGACGGGCCATTCTTCAACAAGAGGATGCTTGCTTGTGGACACTTAATTTCATAGGGGTTCCGGGGCCAGATGAAGAATATTTCCAAATAACTTCCAAACCTTACAGCCTCACTCGACAGAGTGGTATATAGGAGAATAGCTTATGCTTTCAAGGTGCAACTGCTTCCAACTCCGCTCTAAGCAATGTTGTGAATTCGTCAAAGCACATGTCTGAGATTGTCTGAGCCGCTGGAATGGATAGAAGGCTGGAAGAAGGAAGGCTGGAAGGCCGGAAGTTGGCAGATTGGAAGGCTGGAAGGTTGCAAGGAAGGGTGGAGGAAGGCCTTCCAGCAAGCCTCCAGCCCAGCCCAGCTGCAGAGCGAGAGGGTTGCTAGGCAGGCTGGAAGGCAGGCTGGACGGCTGGGAGGACTGGAGGGTTGGAGGGCTGGAGGGCCGGAAGACTGGTAGGTTGAGCAGGTTGGAAGAGGAAGGCTGGAAGGCTGGCAAGTTGGAAGGCTGCAAGGCTGGAAGGCTGGGCTGGAGGGCTGGAAGGCTGGAAGGTTGGAAGGTCGACTGTGTCAGAGACTGGCCCCAACTTTTACACATCCGGATGTAAATACATTTTTAGACTACCTCCGTGAGCACCAGCCTTGGGCCGCCCTCCACATATTTAAACGTAGGCACCGCACCCTTGTGTCAAGCTACTCGATTACAAAGGCAGCTTCGTCATCTTGAAGCTTCAACAAACACTTCGCAGCCAGCTCATCGAGACGAAATATCCGTATGAACTTCTCCAATGGAGCTTCCTGTTTGGCTTCAGGCAAGGCCCCGATCACTTCCACGGGGGGCTCTGGCACTGGGGGGCTCACTTCTGAAGCTCCATCTGTTGACTCTTGAGGTCTACGCCAAGGTGGGACAGGCGCACTGCTAGCACCAATCTTCTCACGCAGGAGCCGCGAAAGCGTCTCCAGAAGCACCGCCTCTCGAATTGCCTCTTCGCTCATAGCCTGCATCCTGCAAGACCATGGGGCTCACTCGCCCTCGGATGGCGTGAAATCTCTTGAAATCTATGCCATTTGCGCCAACCTAGCTCCTACAAAAGTGCAGTCTGTGAGCCACACACACACACACACAGAGTGAAGCAGGGGAGATCAGGGGAGCAAGCATACTGGTCAAGGTATCTGTGTCAGCCATGCAAGGCAAGCATCAATGACAACTGCAGCCCGGCTGAAGTTCCCACGTAAGTTCTGCCTTCTGCATTTTTCAATCTGACTTGGGCAAGCTATGCAGCTGCATCCAGGGGTATGGCTGCACTTGTCGCAGGCTGTGCTCCTTTGGGTCCTGTCCTTGAACAAGTGTTGGTCGCCACCGCCCGGCAGCAAAGTCAGGTATGGTCAAGTGACGTCGGGTGGTCATCTGCGATGCGCATCAAGCTGCGGTGTGCTCAAATTCTCCTGTCTCTTCAGCAGTCTTTTCAGCAACACGTAGAAGGCTTTGCCCTGAGCAATTCCAATCTCTTGCCAGCTTCAGAGGTGCTGACTTTCGTGGAGCTTCATGGGATTTAGTAACTGCAAATATAAGCCTACCTATAATTTGGATAGGGTCGGTCCGTGCCTCCCTCTGACAACCAACAACACTGCAAAGTTGGATGATGTGCTCCAAAAGAGGACAGTGCTCACTAAAGCATCTCCACGGGGTCATTTCTGTTGTGACCTGCAACGCAAGGCCATGACCAAGAGCCCACCCTGAAAAGAAGACCAGTTAGCAGTGCTTGCCCCGTCTTGTAGTGCGCCAGGTCTCAGGTGCTACCACCATTTTGCCAGTGCTCAAGCCGCCATGCAATGGTCCAGGCTGCAGGACAGGGGCATGTAGATTTTGAAACAGCATTTTTCCATGTGCACGAAAATGACAAGTGACAAAGCGAAGCCACAATGTTCATTGCCGTGTTCTCAATGATGACTTCAGCTGCTTCCCAGGCGATCTGAGCTGGAACACAGAGGAAAGCGCGGCGTGCTCCGCAACGGTGAGATACAATGTGAGAGACCGAGTGCTGGATGCCAAGGGCTGCTGCAGGAGTCTCGCCACCTGCAAGGACCTAAGAGGCCCGAGGAACGCACGAACGCACGTAATTAATCGAGTTCTGAACAGCTTCACCTCCAGCGTGCCATTTCCAGCGGACATTGTTCAGTCGTCACAGGCCTGATTCCTCAAAGAACACAGCGCAGGGTCTGCATGGGATTGCCGACAAGCTCCACCGACCATCCAAGTTCTCGATACCCTTTCCAACACGTAGGCCACACTCAGAGCGTTCGCTTCTGGCTGTCAGATTCCAAGCGATTGGGCAGCTCTTCGATTTTTCTCCACGTCTTACTCATCTCTCATCTCTAAGACCTCTTCAATATTCCCGCAAGCCACGCAGGCTTTGTGTTGCATTGGAAGACATCGTGGCTTCATCCGCTGCCACACAGCAGACGAAATAAAGCACCTGGCATAGACCGAGGCCGGACATCTAGGGAATATTCTCTCTGCAGACGCCGTGAAGCTTTGCAGCAGTGAGTCCGAAGAACGCACATTGAAGCCGGAAGTCTGTTTTGATAGTGCCTGAAGCGGCCACTTGGTGCACCAACCACATCTGAAAAAGTCAGATTGTTTGATCCATGTCAAAGGCACGGCCTCATCAGAAACACTGCCCAAGCACTAACACGGCTGATCAAGCTTTACAGCCAGCCCAGGGCCCTGGTAATAGGCTGTTCCAGCATTGCCTTCACGAATCTCGACTTCGCTTGTTTGGCACATGTCTGGCTTTAGTCCGAAAGTTTGCAGCGAGTGTGGGAAGCAATGGAAGGCATCAGCCAGAACTGACAAGCCAACTAGCACATCTTGCCTTCAGAGCTCTGTCTGCTTCGTGAACTCAGGAAGGGAAAAACACTTGAAACGGAAACTTAGAAGTTAGCAAAGCAAGCAAGAGAGCACCTTTTCAGCGGACTCAATGGCCGATACCGTCAGCCCGACGTCCCTTGCGGCGGAACGGGTTTGGGCGCCCTCCACCTGCAAAGTCTGACATTGCAAAGCGCCGCAAAGCTGTTTCGTTATTTACTGGTAAAGCTGTTCCGAGCCCCGAGAAAATCTCTCCCTTTACCGGCCTGTGGAGTTCTGAGTCTCCTCTGACAGATTGCCAGAGATATCCAGGGAGGCCCAGGACACGTTGACACGGCCACGCGGGCTAGCTATGACAGCCGCAAGGGTTTCATTGGAACGCCCGGGCAGCTGGATCGGCTTTGGGGTGCTTCTCACTACCTCCTGCAGATCACGAGAAACACGGAAGAACTGCAAAGTCTGGCCGGCTGCGGCCCACCTTCGCCTGTCCTCCGGTCGCTGTTGAGGCATCGGGCACATGTGGCCAGAGCTCAGGAGGACTCCACACCGTGAGGAGTATAGCCCAAATCACGAGGCTCACCAGAATAACGGCCATCGTACCTACGAAGGATCCAGCAAAACCACAAAACTTACAGCTGTGCTCAGCCAAATCTGCCAAGAACAGAATTCAAGCCAAGCAGCCTCGCCAAGACCTGCCTTTTGCACGTCGTCGGCCCGCGGCACCGGCTGCTTCCACGTCAAAGCTCTGCACTTCGCCCCGAGTTGTGGCCTGAGCCTTCGAAGGACTATTTACTCACATTCGTGACAGGTCTTGCTTGGATTGTGCAGCGCTTTGCTAGCCATGATCCTAAAATTTGATCAGACTTGTACGCGTACTTTGGGGGCTGAGGCCCTACCAAGGTCTCCACGCTGCTAACTGACCACGCCCAGCAGGCTTTCTGAAGAGCCCGTTTTTCAATTTCTCTGACTGTCACAGTCGTGTGCTTGCATGTACTTGACTCCCTCCATTGTGGCTAACATCCCCGCCACCGTGTCCACCCCTCTAAACACTGGGCCCCTCCTTTTGGTCACATTCTTCAGTGCCCCACGATCGCACCAATTCCAGAAGCCCTCGCCCTTACTTGCTGGGCCTGGGCTGCAGATGCTCTCATCTGGCAGCCCGAGTTGGCTCCCTCCTCTTCCGTCTTCCTGTGACGAGGCACTACTAGATCCAGTCACGCGAAATCAAGCAGTGATCTCTGGACTAGACTCGTTTCGCTCACCTTTCTGCGCTTTTGTGAAGTGCCCTCGCGCCCTCAGATCGAGCCTGCAAGCTGCAATGAACGAAGCAGAAAGGATTCTGGACGGCACTGAACGAAGCAGGGTCAAGGCCTTGAAGGCTGCTGCCTGGGCCACGACATCCGGAGCATCTTGCAGCGCTTCCAGGAGGGCATCCTCACAGCATTTGCCCCTTTTGCCCCTTTTTTTGCAAAGAACCTACAACTTACTTCAAATACTGCCTCCTCGAAAAACTTTTCAAGCGCTGCATCGGCATCTTCATCATCCATGGCATCAAGGGCACACAAGTCCTGCTCAGTCCTGCTCGCTTAATTCTCAAAGCCTGCAACATTTTCATCCGAAAAAGGAGCTGAAGTTGCTCCGTTCCCGCACGCAAACTATTGAAAGCACTTGTTAAGATTTGATGCATGATTTGCATGATGATTTGCATGTCAACGTCATTTTCGAGCGCCTTGACATGGCCAAATTGCTCCAGATGCGGCTCTGCCCGTGAGTGCTGCTAGCACACTTCATGGCACTCCTGGCACTTGGTTTCTACGCTACGGTGTGTCCGGATGCAGCTGCGCAGCTTTGCACACAACTTCAAACGTTTTACCCTGCCAGCCTGCCAGGACAATGTTTGACTCATGCAAGACGCATGAATCAGTTCATATAATATGCAGACACACACATGTGCATCCAAACGCCAGCCCAAATCAATTGTCATCTATCAAGCTGAGCTTGATGTTGAAGGACATTAAGCCCTTGTGGAGTTCTGGGTACCTCATCTGGACTCAAGGCTGAATCTGTTTGGCTGATGCGTTTCTGGTAACTGCACAGGACAGTTTTCCTCCAAAAATGAAACATTGAAAATCTTTGCTCAGATGCGGACTGCATCAAAGACATGCTTGACACGTGTACTGTTGCAAGCTGAACATGTTTGACATGTACTGCTGCGCTCTTCACTGCCTGACTTTCTTTATTGACCAATCCAGCTGCGCGCTCAGCACCCAGGAACTGGTCTGTAGGTACGTTTACACTGCATGCACAGAAGCATCTTCGTTGGCTGGAGACTTCCGGGATGCACTCCAGACCCCTGCATCATATACAAGTTCCGCTTGGCGATAAGGTTCCACACACACACAAGAAGCCACAAGGGCAGCGACAGATCCAATCAGAACCTGTCGGGTAGAATGCATCGCTGATGTTTGTATGCATCTGATACAATATATGCCTAACAACAGAAGGAGGCATGCAAACCCTGACAAACTGTCGAAACGTGTGCAAAGCATTCACTCAGCAATCTTGGTAGCTTGGATTTTCAGATCGCACATCACCTAAACCATGTTGCTGATCCTCAAAATCGACAGAGCACTAAGTTACATTATCCGGCCATCGCGATGGGTGTCTTTACCCTTTGGCACTCTAATGTATAAAGGATTTCCGGATCCGCCTGAAAATGGAGCTCTGAATCAGTCATGCCAAATGATGCTATCAATCAGAGCAGAGTCTCTCTGGGCAATCCTATGGGTACTGGAAGATTGATGTAGCCCAAATGTTGAGACAGAAACAGGACGGTAGTGAGCCACAGTTGGGACACCGCTCCTATTGGCACTAACTGCCTGAAATGCACATGACGGAAGGTGAAACGAAGTTGAAATCTGTTGATCAGTTGACCTTGTACAGGAATTGGCCACTGTCTTTGAAAGTGGTTGAGGTAGTCCAAAACCAGCGACATCTGAGGATGTGGCAAAGTGGTTGGTGAACTGGGCCCTGCTCCTCCCAAGGTGGGAGTACGATATCCAGCTGCACATGCTGACCCAAGATGAAATCACGGATCCGGATGACAAAAGTGGGACAAACCAGTGGCGCTGAAATTGGAGAGGCTGACTCCATGGCTTAGCAAGGGGTCTTGCCCTGAACATAACCACTGCTGAAAAACCCAACAAAGTGTATAACAAGGTGCATAACAACCTTGTGACTTGAAAAACTGCTCAAACAGACTGCTGGAGACTGTTTTGCAACTGTTGCAAGGTAGGTGCGTTTACAGTGAAACTTTCTCCTGATACCTTTACTTTACAGCTTAGGAGATGGCCAGCTGCTGCCCCAATCATCATCGTTTGTGATGGCCAACATAGGTGGCGCAGTCAAAAAGGACCTAACTCTGCTGGACGAACCCGCCCAACGGCTACTGGACAACACCCATATACGATCTACGCGGGCTCCTGCCTCCCGAATTGCCCACGTCTTGCCCGAACTCAGTGGTACTTGCACAAATGGGACTCGTGGGTGGTTGCAGCGGATTTTGAGTTGATGTGGTTGCAACCAAGGATACCTCCCACTACCACTCCTGAACTGTTTTTGTGGAGTGGTGAATCTGCAGTTGGTCCAGGGACGCAATTGGTCCACTGCATGGCTTTGCCATAAAAACTGAAACAATCTTGATCAGGAGGCGTGCCGACTACGTCAGCATCAGATTGAAACACCCTGCCAGCAGTTAAGAAGCCTCCAGGGGTCGTGCCATGGCCGCAAATGTACCACCGATGGGGACTTGTGGGGGGTCCAGGAAAAAACTGTACAGGAAACTCCCAAACGCGCATTGCTTCTTCAGGAATGGCAAATTCCTGTGCTCCAGCAATGAACATATGCTGGTATGGGATTTTGCTGGCCCACAGTGCCTTGGCCAAGAGCCCGATTTCGCGCTCGCCTGTGGCAACAGAGGGCTGCTGAATAAATGAAATCAAAAACTGAACTGCTTCCGCAACTTCTGAGCCTGAATATCTCCCCAGGGTCTGGCAAAAGTTTTGGTGAAGGTTCGCCTGTCTCTCATGCGTCGGAGGCTGGCATGTGAAATCACTGGCCACGTGAGCAGGCCTGCTGTAGTTAAATGATTCTCCAAATAACGGAGAACAAACAGCATATATGCCTGTAAAGCAGTGACCTTCATCAAAATGTGCAGCGGCATCATGGCTACCAATTGCCTGCTGCAGCTGGTGGGTCAACTCTCCGCGATTACTGCGGAGCCTCTGAGGCAGTAGCCGTTTCATTCTCCGCGGATATCTCGTAGGAAAACGTCTCCAGCCCGAACTGCTACAGGCCAGAAAGCTGTCAAACGAACAGTTGCAATCAACCTTTGCAATCAATTGAGCAGCTATCATCAATTGCGACACAGTAAGGTCGGAGTGGTTTTGATGGACCTCAGGACGCAATGACGCGTAAAAAAGGCTCAAGCTACAAAACACTCTGGGAAACTTCAACTTTACATAGATTTCCCTGAGCTGCTGAATCTGTGGAGTCACGGACTCTGGGGGCCAGGCATATTGCTTAACAAGTGCTACCCTGGAGAAAAAGCCAGAAGCTGCCAGTCTCCAGGAACCGGCGCTGGCTGGTGAACGAACTTGCCAAGGTTTAGTTGGCATGTTGAACGCAGCAGTCTTCTTGGTCGCGTTGATTGTGAACCCTCACCATTGATGGTCATCTACAGACTCAAGCTGGATCCCCTAGTAAAAGGAGGGATCGCAACAGTCTTGATTCTGTGGGTTCTGAAAGGTAGTAGACGGCGCCAACAAAAGGCGGTTGTCCACATACCTACTTGCCTGCTGCTGTGAAAATTCCCGTGGCAAACGACACTTGAACAATTGCGGGAATGTCCTACTTGACCCAGCATCTTTTCAAGGAGACGCGGGTCTTGCCTCCGGAGTTACATTTATGGCATGTTTTTGACGACAAGTCAATGGACAGGACGGCGGTCTCCGTATGTTCAAGAAATTGTTCGGTCAACAGCGCAACTGCGTCCACAATATCACGATGAGGCACAGCATTAAACAAATCCGACGAGATCGCGGGGCATCCGGATATAGTGTCCTGGTCATGATAGTTATCACAACCGATGCCAGTTGCAACAATTTGCTGCAAAGGGATCCGGAGTAGCAAATTATGGTTCTCCCCTTCTTAAAAATGTTTTTCCGTTTCAAAAGAACGGTGCCGCGGGGGAGTTCAGCTTGTTTGTCGATCGCCCAGTAATACCTTATGGGAATGGCAGCTGGGATGCTTTTCTGCATCTCCTGCTGTGAGTATGTTGAAGACCCAGGCAAATTTCCAAATGTTGAAGGATCGTCCCATGTGCGCCTCTCATGAAAAACTGGGGGCAATAACACATCACATAGTTGGGATGGTGATCTTCATTGCACAGCGCAAACAAATGGAATTTTGATTTCACCTCTTGAACTTTAGTCCAGGTGAGCCTGTCAGATGCCTCCAGCGCTTCGACATGGAGCGCCCGTTGCTCATCACAGAACTTTTCAAACACAGCTTGCACCGAGTTTGGAAGTCTCTTGTGCTTCAACCAAAGACCGAACAACTCAACGGTCTTAGACTTCCATCGGTTCTTCCCTGGCAAGAACGTGCTTGCAGCACCAGCAACGGAAACTTGAAATCTTCCAACGCTGCAGCGACATGACCATCAACAAAGCAATGGTCAGGCAGCTTCTGCAGGAACTGGGAACATGGGCACGCAACTGCTTCAATGTTAAAGTTGAGGCCCCACATCTGTTCTTCCCAACCTTGAAAGTTGCGAAGAAACTTCTTGATGCTTTGATGTAGAACTTCCCTCAGATTGCCTCTGGGGACATGAAATGGGGGAAACAAGTACTTAAAATCACTGACAATGCTTTTGAGCCAGCCTTCCCAATCTGAATTAAAACTGGGATGCGCCAATGGCAGGACTCCCAAGGGTCTTGCCGACTTTGGCCAATGCATCGTGGTGCGAAACTTGACTGCGGACTTTAAAAGACTCTGGTTTTCTCCTCGAGCTGGATGTGCTACGTTCCTTCTTCTCAGCTTCATCAACGCGCAAAGCTCATCATTGCTCATGCTACGGGATCGAATGAGCCTTGCCGCGTTGTGTGAGGCTTTTGTAAATGACCCCAAGTCAAAAAGAATGTTCCAAGCGGTTTTCCTGCAGTCTTTTCTGCAGCCATGCAATCTCTTCCCGAGTTTGCGCCACAACCTGAGGCCGTATGTCGAATGTGCTGACATGCGGTGTTTTTGGGATACGCTGTATCCTAGAGCTGTTTTCTTTAAAAATTGCGTAGCTCTAGGAAAATTCAGTGGTGTTTGCCACTGAGCTATCAGCTCGTGTTCAAAGGACCAGGCTGACTGATAGTCTTGAAAGTTGA